TTGAGGTAACTTAACTTTTACCCCTCCTTCTATCAAAGTTTAGCGAATTCATATTTTCTGATGGTGGTAAGGTAAATCAATTGTAATTGAAACTCAATCTGGATAATGAGTGTGTATACTTAATTTTTGCTGAAGAACAATTTATATGGTGTTGATATTTATTAAAATTAATTGTTAAATATAGTTAATTTTACTGTACTAAATTTGTTTATTGTGTTGAAAAACTATTCACTGGTTCTGTAATTTTTCACATCCAAAGTTGTCGGCTGGGAATTAGTTCCTCAGAATTCCTTATCTGGAGATTTCTGCACCCCGAAATTCTTTTGCCAAGCGTTTCATCACATGTGCCAATGTTTTCACCACATGTTCTTATTTGCATATTCGGGACCCTGCATGCTCTGGCATTGCTCTGGTTTTCTAGCATTAAATTATTCTACGGGGAGTTTGGTTATGGGGAGTGAAAAGTCGTTGGATAGGGAAACCTCTTCCCGTGAAGATTTCTATGTATGGGATTGCCGTGCTTGCCGTTCTTCCGATCATCATACTTAGCCAATTATTTCAAGATCTTGGCAGGTACAAAAGTTGCTGTGCAGTTGGGACAAGAGACGAAGAGCCGGGAAAAAAGAAAAGCTCACAACAACTGTACAGTGTGGAGAGTAGCAGTGGTGGTCTGATTTTGAAAAATATGCTACCTACTTCTATCATCTTCATGGCTGACCTGAGAGAGCTTCTGAGAAGTGGACGGACATCGAATATTGAGATGGTTGCTGAATAAGAAGTCCTGTGACCTCATCCCCAAAATGGCCTGTGGAAAAGGGAGAAGTTTGGAACCATCCTGATGGAAAGTGCTGTCTGGGACGGAAAAGTGGAGCCTGACGTCATCTTTGATGTTTTTCTTTCGTTGATTTTCATTTTTGCTTACCCCTTTCTTTTATTTCGACAGATATGCTGAAAGCCCGATTGGTAATGAAGTCGATAACCCTCTGCCTAGAACAAACTATATGTATTTCAAGGTTCAGTGTGAATAGTTTCATTGTACTCCTGTAAGGTTATGGGGGCCCCCACTTGTAATTATTTTTAAAGGTACGTGATTTTTTTTTTTCCTTTCTAGCTGTACTTCTGCAAAGTATATTAACCAGCCATCTCTTAATAATTGTAATAAATATTGTTAGTATCATGACACTATCAGTAATGTAACCCAATCTCGTTATCCAGAAAATAAACGTTAGTTTTGTTGGCTAATCTTTGGAATATGGTAACAGGTAGGTTGGCGACATTTTGGTAGGCGATAAAGGTTACTACCTAGGACTTTACCTGAGATGGAAGTACTCATTTATGCATTATTTTGTGTGAGGGAAATGAGAGATCATGAGATATGTCATGTGACATTAATGGACGAATTCGTTCTTTAATCGGAAAAGGGGGAAATCTGGAAATTTTGTATTTAGCTTCATTCTGTGTTGTGTGAAACGTGTTGGTTAATTTTCAGATCCCATGGCCCTACCTAAAGGTGAATTCGAAATGAGTATTTAGTGGGATTGAAAGGGTAGTAATAAGTGTTTTTAAGGTTGTGCGAGATAGAAGTAAAGATTGCTTATTAGTTTATTAAGCAGTATATTCTACCTGCTTTTAAAACTACTTTCGGAGGAAAAAGCAAAGTTTTATCCGCGACGTAATCAAGATTCTGAAGAAGATTAGTAAGTTAGTATTTTTAATTATTTGAGGATATTATTTTTATGCATTCTCTAAATGTAAGGAAAAAAATAAATTAATATGTATTATTGAAAATTGTATTAGCAATGATTTAGTTTAAAGTAATTAGGATAGTAAGCTAATTTTTATTAATTTAATGTATGTGCTTTATTTATATTTTTAAGTAGTGTTTTTAATTTAATTATATTTTAATTAAATGATAGTTATTTTTTGAATTATATGTTTGTAGCAATTGGTATACATTTCAGTGGAAGTAACGTGCATGGAAATAATTTAAATATTTGACACAAGTATTTGCAAACCATTTTTTTTAAGTGTTATAATTCGTTGGTGACGTTTATAATAGATAATTAGAGGTAAAAGTTTATGGATATTTTATTTATTTTATACATGCAAATGTTCATCCTTGGAAGGGTATAAACTTTTTTCGCGATCAGGATTTCATATATGTCCTTTTTACTGAATTTAAAGATTCAGAAATTTTAATGTATTTTCGTGAAATTTTTCTAATTTATGAGAAAAAAGCAGTACATGAAATATAGTGAAGAATGTGCGCAATGCCATATTTGTGCATTCTGGGATGTTTTTTTTAAAAATAAGTCGACGTGTACATGGTTTTATTATATTTTAATTAAATTATATTTTTTGTGAATTATGTTTTTTGGCAATTGGTGTATGTTTTCAGTGGAGTAACGTGGCATGGAAATAAAAAATATTTGAATATTATTTGTAAATTTTTTTAATGTTTCCATTATAAATTTCGTTGGTAGTTTATGATATAATAAGAAATTAGGACGTAAAATTTTTTGGATATTTTATTTATATTATACGTGGAAATGTTCATTCTTGGATTGGGTATATACTTTTTCGTGATCAGATAATTTCATATATGTGCTTTTTACCGAGTTTAAAGATTCACAAAAATTTTTCGGCATTTTTCATCAAATTTTTGTAATTTATGAAAATAGCAGTGTAGATGGATAAAGTCAAGTGTGTGCGCATGCATTTTTTGTGCAATTCTGGGATTTTTTTTTTAAAGTAAAATAAGTCAACGTGTACATGGTTTACTGTGTATGTGCGATTTTGAAAAAACCGCAGCAAAGGAGTTTGCGATTCTGCACTTTTTCCCAATTTTGCATTAATATTTGTCATGAAAGCATTTTGTTTCCATAAAATTTCTAGCATAAGTGTAATTCGATAGCAGATTGTTGGAAAAAGTGTTGAGTAAATAAAAGAAAAGAAACAAGTTCTTTTCTTCGTGAAGACAAAATGGCAGCGAAAAAAAATAGAGAATTGCTGTAGCAGAGTTTGTCGCCAATTTTCGCCCAAAAAATCGCCAAGTTACCATAATCCAAAGATTAAACATTTGGTTTTACTTACTCTGTATTGTATTTAAATTTTTACTCTGGACCATATACTCTTAATTTACTGGGTTTACTTTGCTATTTTTTCACAATGCAACTTGTTTGATTTATATTGTCTAGTTATAATATATACAGTGGGCTCTCAAGTGGTCGTACACTTATGATTTTCATTGAAAGAGGCTCTATCCATTATAAAAGTAAACTTTCTGAATGAGATTTTATAATAAGATCTATAATCTGTTTGTAACAAAATTACATGAAATATTTTTTTTAAATATAGCGAACTTTATTTTAAGAAATAATAATCAAAAATGACAACATTTTATCTCCCAAAGGCTTTGTAACACTTCAAAAAAGCTTGACATATTAGTAAATACTTTCATTTTTCTTCTTTAAAGCATTGTATCACATACTGCACTGTAAAATGGGATAAATTAACTAATTTAGCGATATTTTGAATTGATTTACCACTACTATGGTGAAAAATTATCAATTTTCAAATGCTGCTTGTAATTTCTTTATGACTGTGACCCATTTTACAATAATAAATAGAGAATATTATGAAGTAAACAATAAAAAATTAAAACAAACGATTTTTTAAATGCTACCACAATGCAAAAATTTAAAAGCGGCAAACGTTTAATTCTATTTTGATTCTATCCAAAATATTTCAGTGTACGAAGACTTTTTGGAGATAAAATGTTTGTCATTTTTTTATTATTAATTTCTTTAAAAATAAAGTTTTGCTATATTTTAAAAATATTTCATGTTATTTTATTATGAATAGATTATAGATATCATTATTAAAATCTCATTCAGAAAGTTTACTTTTAATTAATGGATAGAGCCCCATTTCAATGAAAATCATAAGTGTACGAACACTTTTGGGAGCCACTCTATGTTTGCACATATTCACACATTTTCCAGATACTTATCGGCATAAGCATGAATTTTCAATTACACAGTGATGATGTTTAGTAGTAGCTATAGTATATGACTTATGTTATAGTATTCTATACTTAATATAGAACAATATGCCCATACCTTTATATTTGGAACACCATATTTAACTGCTGGAATACATAGTACTGCTTCAACTCTTTACCAATTTGGCATACTCAGTATATATGCTAACCTGACTTATTCATTCTTTATGGGCTTCAGTGACTGTAGGTATCTTTTTTTATTACTTTCAGAGTTGAGATCTAGAAAACTGAAAATATTTTCTTCAAGCAATTCTATGCAATAGCATTCTGGTTAAGTAGTATTTGAGCTTTAATATCAGCTGCAACATAAAAAGAATCCCTTTAAGCCCTTCTAGGTCGGCGTTGTATCTCACACGTCTGTCCCGTAAGGTCTCGGTTCCGCCGCTACTCACACGTCGCTTTAAATTCAACGATTTTTTTTTTTTTTTTTTCTGAATATTGCCAAAAAACGACGCAACTAGTTCTAGTTTCTTCCCAATTTTCACAGTAAGATTTCCTGCCTTGAAATTGAAATCATCAACCATCATTCGAAACACTACTTGAACTCACTGAACACACATTGCAATTTTTTTTTTCTTCTTTAATTTAAAACTTCGGTGCATTCTAGGGAAAACTGGTGATCAATGGATGGAATACCACATATTTGTGCACCAGCAGGTCCAGCAAAAACTGCCTACTGTCAAAAATATTTTTGCGTTTTTGAATTTAGGATAGAACATACATTAACTTTCAGCAATAAAAAAAATGCTCTTTTGGGGGTTCAGAAATTAAAAGAAAAAAATCGACCAAGAAGGGGTTAAGCAAATACCATCTTTTTTGTTCTACTACAGAATGTTAAAGGGAAAAAAAAAACTTTTAAGCAAATACAACATTTTTTCTCAATTAGATCACTTATTAGACCTTAAAAAGTATAACTTAAATTAATAAAATTTGATACCTTATTTTTCAAAGCATTATGGCCTGTTTTTCTTTTCATTTGACTGAAAATTTCAAGTTTTGTCCATGTTCATATCTTGAACAAATATATCTAAAATAAGAAAAGACACACTGTAGACTGATTTTGATATTTCTATGCCAAACAGACAAGCGAACTACAGCAAATTATTTGTATCACCTTATACTAATGCCTGCTACATACATGTAAGGGATAACAGATCAGAAGTACTGCAATATTTGTGTATATTTTACATCTGGTATCTCAGACTAAGAGTAAGAAAGTAAAGCTCATATCTGAATTACATCAAAACTTGAATGAAAAATACACATATTTTATATTTAAATTCAAAACAATAATTCTTAAACTACTACTGCATTATTAATAATATTTTTTCAGCTACTTTTCATATTAAGAGGATCATAATTATTTGTATATATCTGTATATAATATATAAGAAATAAAAGTTCAAATTAACTAACAATCAACAGAAATAAATATTAAAACATTGCGATTATAGTACGACTCACTCGCATAGAAATCAGCTTCTTAAAAAAGTACGACAGTTAAGTACGACTTCATCTGAAATTACATAATATGGAGTAGCAGAATATGAACTTATAGGGATGAATTATAATCCATTCATAAACTGATGAGGAGTAACATAAATGTTAACAATACACAAAATACACCGAAATTAACATGAAAACCTCAAATTATAGAGAAATTACATAAAAATATTAATTTGTTTCTAATCAATCTAGATAAAAACAATACGTACACAGACATCAAATTACTTAAGAATGTTTGTCTCTCATTCTATATATTCTTAAAAATAAAAGCTTCTGACAGCTATGACAATTTTCCAACAGCAAAATATATACTGAGTAACTATGAAAGCACATTTTATGAATTAGGAATAAAACATTAGAATAAACATACTAAGTGTTTGTCTGTCACTCTAGGCACTTCAAAATGCAGTTACTATATTGTTTTAAATGTAAAACAAGTTACTACATATAATGTTTGGTTTACTGATTATGCGGTTAATCTTTGGATTATGATAACTTAACGATTTTTTGGCGAAAATTTAGCAACCAACCCTGCTACAGCAACCTGCGAACACCACCGAAGTAAGGCTAGTTTTTTTTTTTTTTTTTTTTTTTTTTTTTTTTTTTTTTGTTTTTTTTTTTTTTTTTGGACACATTTTGTTTTCCCGAAGTAAAGGCCATTGTTTTGTTTTTTTTTTTTTTTTTTTTTTTTAAAACCACATTTTGTTTTCCAACAATCTGTCTGCCGTTTTTTTTTTTTTTTTTTTTTTTTTTTTTTTTTTTTTTACATCTGCTAGCCGATTCGCTTAGGCTAGAACTTTTATGGACAAAAGTGCTTAATCATGACGAAGATTAGTGCGAAATTGGAGAAAGTGCAGATCGCAAAACTGCTTGCTGCGTTTTTTAAATTGCACCTCCACTTAATTACATCCCAGATTGCACAAAAAAAACATACCAGACTTGCACAAAATGGCCTTGCGCACACTTTATCCAGTACACTGCTAATCAGCTATAATTATCGCCTTACCAAAATGTCGCCAAACTACCTGTTACCATATTCCAAAGATTAGCCGATTATGCCAAAGCATGCAAAACACATACAAGAATAGACAAATAGTTTGTCATTTACTGATAGTTTCAAAAGCCATTAAAAAATTTGTGAAAACAATAATTCAAGATTCAAGTACATTTAAATATACTAATTTATAAACAATTAATGCATGGATTTTAAAATCATGTAAAAGCTAAATTATATTATTTCACTCATTTCAAAAAATATTAAAAACACACGATTCAGATACAGATTTTCCAAAACCTGTTCAGTTTATTTAACGCTAAATATTACCAGGCTTTTAATCTAAGAGGGAGGAAAATGTAGTTCAATTATCCACATTTCAAAACTTTCGAACATTTGACTAAAATTAAAATATTTAACAAATTTGGGACACACTTTTTCTCTCATTTCAAAAAACCACCACATTATAATATTTACTCAACTCCATATGCAGAGCACTGAATATTTACAGAAATATAAATTACAATAAATTTTAAAATCGTGAAGTAGCTGTGGAAGATTAAAGCTTTTTCAATTATACAAAACTCTCTCATTGAGTTTAACTGCACCATGATACAACACATGTTTTAACTTGTCCTGAAATAAATGAATCGCATTTTATGAATTAAAAGCGAACAATTTACGAAAACCCTCTTCTAAAATATTTCCCATTCCGTATTAAAAAAACATCAGAACAAAAAATTAGCTTCGAAACAAAAAAGACCTTTTTACCATTACAAGCTTAAGATCTAAAAACATTAAAGGGAAACATATTTTTAAAAATTTTTGAATAATTATGTTGCGAACTCTACCATTCAAGAGCAGAATAGAGAAATCCAATCTGATAGAATCCAATAGAGGTCGCGCAATACTTGTAAACAAACATTAGAAACGCTTCTCGCAACACAAACACGTAACGTTCTCAAGGATCATTAGTTTTTTCGAATTTCTTCGTAAAATGGTATTGAGATAAACGCTGTAAATACTACCAAATAAACAATTAAAAACGCTGAAAGAAATGTATTAAATCTTAAATGCAGCACATTAATAATAAAATGTTATAAGAAATAAAGAATTACTTTACACTAAGTTACCTTGGATTGTCATCTATGAAGCATATGTGATTGGTTTGATTTGTTTAACTATGGCAAAACTCTTGACAGCTATCTGCCTAATGGGAGGAATGCCTTCGTTGAAGACTTTCTAAGGTGAAGAGGCTCGTATGCACGTTACACATGGAGAAAACCATAAAAACGCAAATGCAGACCGCCTGTTCGCCGAGATTCGAAGTCCGGAACAAACTATAAGTATTCAGCGATTTTACCGTCTGCCGCTATTGGAATTGAAGCATGCATGAATGTGCTGAAGATGAAACCACATGGGCGATGGTGAGACAACGTCTAGACTCAGTGACAAATAATGGGGCACATTTGTGATAAAGAGCTTGTATGATCTGCAGAGCTGTGATTGTGGGAGAGGATATAAACTCACAAGGAGTTGTCGGCGATTTGTGTGCTTATACTTCTCCACGGTTTTCGCTGTATTTCTCATAAGGCATCAAGTAAAATGAGCAGCCAATAACGTATGGATGACGGAATGAGATGGAGAACTGTCAGTAGACTGAAGGCAGCTCATTCACAAGCGCAGATGACAGCAGAGCTTAGTGTAACGCCCAGTCTCGTTGGCAGTTTGTGGAAAACGCTTTAGGACACTAGCTCCATATCGAGAACACCTGTACGAGGTAGACTAAAATCCACAAAAATAAAAAAGGATTATAATGTGGTACTTTAAGCGTGGCGACACAGGACTGCTATAAGTTCACAGCTCTCATGTGAGCTGTATGCTTTTAATAAAACCCGAGTTTCATGGTTTAAATTTGTCCTAAGGACTGCTGATATAGGCCTGTATGTCAGAAAAACCAGCTCTTTGTGTCCTACTTACTGCAATACCCAAGAAAGCTCGTTTAGCCCGGTGCAAACAACATGCGCGTTGGGCCAGACTTCCGTGGAGACCCATGCTTTTTGCAAATGAATCGAGATTCATCTGGAGACTAATTCTTGACATAATTGTATCTGGAGAGAGCCTGAAACATGATACGATCTCTTCTTCATTAGGGAAAACATTGCGGTGTTGGAGGTGTAATGGTTTGGACAGGCACTATGATGGACGGCTGCACACCTTCACAAAGAGGTTTTATCCACATAGGGCTCAACTGGTCGACGATTATGTGAAAAGTTAGAAAAGCCAGCTTGATATCCTGAATTTTAGCCTATACAGTGTGTCTGGGACGCTTTTGAGAGGGTAATTTCATCTCGCTGTCCCATCTCGGAGTTGAAACTGCCTTGCTGCAGGAGTGGAATCGATTGCCATAGGAACGCCTCAGCAGCCTTCTGTCTAGTATGCGCTTACGCTGCGTGGCCTGTCCGGCTGTGAGAGGGGACTTATTATCCCATATTAGACTTATTTTCAGTTCGATTTTACAACGTGGATTTTGGACATCACTGCACTGTGAGCTTTACTGATAACCATGCTAACAGAAAATGACTTTTGAATGGTATATTTCGTTCTGTCTAATAAATGCATATTCATAGAAAATTACATTAAAATCTGTCAGTCAGGTTTTTTGAAATTCGACATAAAGTGCAATTTTTTTTTTATTTTTGCACGCGAGTGTATTAACTGAGGTAGTAGTTCTTCAATACAATCAAGGTTTGGATTTGAATTTTTTGCTTCGATTCGAAGTTCATTTAATGTCTTCCTAGTAATAGTTTGCAATGATGCTCTGTTTTTCATTGCCCTTTCTGCTTTTATATTAAATAATCCAATAAACACAAATTTGAAAACAATTCAAATTTAAAGCGATGAATAGCAAAAATAATATTAAGTCATAAATTATACAATTTCTAACAGAAAATGGCGAATGAATGAAATTGATCAATAACCATCATAATATCAAAACTTTGATGGACTGACTGGCGAACGCAGTATTGTAAGAGCAATATGCATAACTTCACGTTTTATGGCATCTTTCAATTCTGACAAATCTTGTGGATTTGAAGTGTACATCTCAGATAATATAGAGCATGGAGTGCGATCGGGAGATCGCAATGGCCACGAAACTGCGAAGTTACGGTAAGATGATTCTATCTTGAAACGGTGTGCACTGTGACGAATTCGAAAGACAACAGGTAGCGTAGATAAATTTATTTCGGTTCTTTCTAGGCTATATGCAAAAAATAAAAATAAATAACTTATAAAATATTGTTCTCACAGCAGGATGAATAAGTTTCTGTTTAGATGAAACTTCTTGTTTGGAAATAGTTCAAGATGAGGTTGTCTTGAATAAATCAAATCTCTAAGCCGGTGGTTGCCGGACTGAGCTGTGTCCGAGCAGGATGCTCTTCGCAAGGTAGCGGCGAACCCGGCTACCTCGCTGTAAGTCTCTTGAATATCGCTCTACGCAGACCGAATCAAAAATTTGCTCGTGGCCGAGCTGGAAAAAAAACCGAGAGAAGTTTCTCTCTCTCTACTGCCCTAACTCTCATTTTTTTCTTCTCCTGTTTTGTTCATGTTCCGGCGAGTCGGAAAAACTTCTCGGATCCTTATTTGCCTCATTTTTGAAGCGCCTCTTGATTGGCGAGAACACTTAATAAAACTGGATATGATGAACACCTGGGAAAAAGTCCGTGGGAACTTTTCGATTCCCAACGGGGTCTCAAACCGGGTGGTCTGGACACTGAACTAAAACTGATGAAAGGGAACTGAAAAATGTCTCTTTCGAACAACTATAAGAGGAACAAAAAGCTGAGATGTTTTGTGACTGCTGGTCACTTCCTCTTTCCGAGAATTCGCTAAGAAATACTCTGTCTGTGTGAACTTTCGAGGGGGTCATTATTTTCTGAGAACTTCGTGATGGTCGATAAAATAGCTTAAGACGTTACAGCACGTTGAAAACGAGTAATTCCATTGAAAGTTTTTTCTCTCTTATGCTGGCATTGGTCGTACAATGCTGTTCTTTGCAAATTTTTAAGCCAGCAACTTTTGTCATATATGTATTGTTCCAACGGCGTTTATGGTTTTTCAATGCGCTGATCATTTTGCGCAGGAAAAAAGTAGGTGTTGCTTTTCGAAGCTTTCGAAATATCTTCACTGTAACCATTACCGTGACAGCTCCATTGCTTTAAAATCGCACATCTTCAGATAACAATATCTGAAATTTCATTTCTAATTGTTGAGTGCTGAGGCCGCTAAGGGTTCATATATGAGGTAAGTTTTATATGACCGCGTGAATATACGTTTGGTTTCGCTGATTTCAATAAAAAAAAAAGGTGCACAACTAGATATTGCAGTAGTTCTATATATAAAATTTAAACGTTCTACGGCTAATCATTTTTGAACTATGAGCGATAAGTATGGGAGATATATTCGTATGTACGTAGACACGTCCCGAAAAAAAATCCCTTTTGAACCCACTTTAAATCCATTTTACAACCTGTTTTGGAGAAAATAGTCCTTTATTCTGATCCAGACGTCAACCAAAATTAGCAATTTAGATATTTTAGAGTAGCAAATGGTCTTTCCGCAGTACTCGTGATAACTTTTAATGTTAACCAGATTTTCAAAACTTTATATTAATATTAGGAAAATTCGCTTTTTTTAAGGCTTCTGAAGATTCTGTTGCAGAAGAATTACTTTGCTCTTGATGAAATTTTCTTTGAAAAAGTTGATATTCAACATTTAAATTTCCAGTATTACAATTCTGCAAATGAGAAGACTATATATTTCAAGATACTTCGAGTTCCCCTTGATTTTCAGACTGGAGAAAGAATTTATTCTTTTGGGGAGTTAATATATTAAAAGAATATAATGTTTAATTGTGTTTCATAAAATATTTTAAGTTCACAACATCCAAGAATTGATTAAAAACTTATATTCGAAAATATAATTCAATGGTTATAATTATATTAAAACTACACCCTTACAAAACTTTCAAATTCTTCTCTTTATTTGCTTCAGAACTGTGGCTGATTCTGAAAAATGGCATTAAAAAACTTTTTTTTTTTTTAAATTATCGCGAATTTCTTACAGTTCTCTTAAACTATCATATCATAATTAAACTGTTGCAGCAAGATATATCCATTTCGACCCTAAGTTCTACTTAACGGCAATTTTCATGAAAATGCTTTGAAACTGAAAATAATGCAGTCGTAAAAACAGAAAGTTTCAATGAACTGAAGAGTATATAAGTCCCAAATGACGATTCTTATCAGTTAGCCTTTAGCTGTTTATCGTTTCTACAGCATGAATTGCAAAGATTTTAGTAATTCCCCTACAAATATAACTGATTCGTGTCTCTCTATCCAACGAGTGAAACAAAGTTTTCAGAGGTTCTTTTTTGAGGATGAACATAAGCTGAATATACCGTGTTTATTCGAGTAATAGTCACATCCCCGTTTGGAAGCAGAAAAAATCGTCAAAAGTGTATAATATTGTGTAGCAGATTTTCCCTCATAATAGTCGTACCTATATAGACTTTCACAATGAAACATTGGCAAAAATGGGCGACTATTACGCGAGGAAACACGGTACTTTCTTTCAAAATATAATTTCTTTTGGGGGTGTTCGTAAAAGGATAATACTTTTATATTACTCCCAGGGAATTACGACTATCT